TTTCAACTCGTTCGAAAGACGACGCAAGGTGGTTCGGGGTGGGCATGGGGGGGTTCAGGAAGGTGCTGCTGGGGTTCCTGCTGCATTAGAAAAGACGAAGAGAGGAACGGGAAGGCACCGTAACCCCCTCCGCTCCCCTCCCATTCCCCTTCCCTCTCGAGGAATTGGATGCTGCTGCTGTTGCTGCTTGAGCTTCTCCATCTACCTGCTGCATCTCTCCCGCTTCTTCTTACCTTGTAACAACCCTCCACTGCTGCCACTCTCAATCAGGTCACCTGCTACTTCTTTCTACCCACTTTCCGCCCAACCCTGACCTATCCCGTCTTGTCCTGTCTCTTGTCTCCTGTTTAAGAAGACAGAGAGAGAGAGAGAGAGAGAGAGATACCGGTAGAGACAGGCGATCCTGCGAGGCGCTTGGCCTGTCACCGTTACCTTACCTACCTTACCTTACCTTAGATCCATACTCAAATTCAACCTTTCTTCATCCATACTCTTACCTCTCTACTCTTATCGCACCCGCGCATATCATTCCCGATCGAGTTCAGTTTCACATTGGGCTGGCCTACCTTATGACTTACTTGCCCTGATCGGTTACATCAATCCGAGGCACTTCTTACATTCCCCTTGCTCTCAACTCTTTGCCTTATACATCCCACTTCCCCCCCTCCTGCATTGCGCTCCCGCCATACGTCAAGTGAGCCAACAAGGTACTTCTCTGCGCCGTACTAGCCGTCGACCTGCAGAAGAAGTCCGTCTCTGTCGCAACACCGAGGCGACCGCGGTGAAGGGTGTGCGCCCAACCTATTCTGACCCTCATGCTTTCCATGCCGTCGCTGGTCACCGTCAACAACAACGTTTCCCTGCTGAGCATTACAATCGCTCCAAGCACATACGTAGCAACGCTGACCTTGTCCTTTGTCTTCGTCTACCTATACATCGTTCAGATCTCGTGGAAACCGACACTGCTACCAAACGTCAGCTATTTTAAGCGCACAAGTCGAACCACCAAAACCGCAGAAGCCGCAGTCGAGGCGCCTTCCCTCCCACCACCACCCACTTACAAGGCCTTACCCGCACCACCCGCCCCCGAGGCCAGCGGCGCACTCGTCCGTCGCAGCAACCGCCACTCTTCCCAACATTACCAGCACGAATATGATGATGGCTACGAAACATTCGACGACGTTCGATCCTCTCGATCATTTAGACGCCTCCTTGGGCGACTTCGAGCCGACGACCCCGCCACCGGGCAGGAGGGGTCCCCAGGGCGTGAACTTGTTCGGGCACCCGTCGCATCACTCGAGCTTCCGGTCAGACGACGCGGAGAGCGACCTGGGCCCGGACCCCGAAAACTCAGTCTCCGTCGGTGGTTACAGTCCTCCGGCTTGGCGCCGCCTCGGAAACGGGAGTCGCGACAGCGGCTTCTGGCGGCGGAGTGATGACCTGCTAGGCGCATTCTCTCCCCAGCTCCACGGACACCACCAAGGCTTTGGCGGATTCAAGTCGAGAGAGTCAAGCCCCGAGTACGATAGCGATGGCGACGAGGGCGAGTCGGTGCTGCGCAGAGCTATGCGCACAAGGTTGCCGACGGGGAGCATGAGCCCCGATAAGGCCCGGTCGCCCAGCCCCGAGCCCAAGATGGAGGATAGGACGATCAAGTTGGAGGATATTCCGTGGAAAGAAACAAGCCCTTCAGAGGGAACATTGAATCAAGACAATTGTATGGCCCCGTACCTGAAGCCCATTCCTCTTCATCATGTGTGTACGACTGCTTTGGGAGGGTATCAGGCTGACCTCGCCGATAGATATCAGGTTCGCGTTGCGCGCAGAAGTACAGCAGCGTACGGAACCTATCGAAGCCCTAGTTCATTTCTTCCGCTCAAAATGGCGATTCTTGACTCACTCGTGGTCTTCCACGATCCTGTCCATCCTCGTCGCCGTGCTCGCCATAACGGCGACACGTAACCTCTTCCAGCCCGCTGCGCAACAGCCGGTGCCCGACCTCGTCAAGGTCGCAGGTATCGCGCGGTCTTTTGAACCGCTCATTTACTTTTCCGAGAATGGCGCATCCCAGGTCGGCGATCTGCAAGCGACCGGCGTCGCTGTCTGGGACCTCGGCGAGAGCGTGCGCTCCAGCAACATGACTTCTGCGCCAATCATTGTTAAGGAGCTGGATGATCTCAGTGAGAGCTTAAAGACTCTGGCTGTTGAGCTGACCAAATTCTTTGCCAACGTTGATGGCGACATTGATGGGTAAGTTCCACCATGTGTTCTCACTCATGAAGCATTGCATTCTAAAATCGACTACAGTATTCTTATAGTCATGGACTGGGCGCGCAGAGAACTCTCTCAAGTCCAACACCTCCCCTCATCGCCCTTCACTGCCGCCTTTGACAACATCCACAACCTCCTCTCTGAAGCAGGCGTTCTCGAAGACGGCTTCGGTAGCCCGACTCGCCTTGGATCTCTATCGAGATACATATTTGGCATGTCCAACCCGCAGCGGACGCGCCTCACTCTTCAGCGCACATTCAACGAGTTCCTCACGGTCCTCGAGGATGCCATCAACTCGGAGCTCCAGCATTCCCTTGCCCTGTTTGCGCTCTTCGAGGCCATCGACCACCAATTCCTCAATCTCGCGCGCACAGTTGTCCGTGAGGCATCCGCGCAGGACGACCTGCACGCAGACTCGTTGTCGTCACTCTGGACGCGCATCTTAGGCGCCAACGCCGCCGAGGTGGCCAAATACGAGCGCAACCGCCTTCTGCTACAGAACGTGAGGGAGAAGACAGCACGGAACAAGAGCATCCTAGTCGAGCACAACGGCAAGCTCATGGCCCTCAAAGCCAATCTCGAAAACCTGCGACGCAAGCTGGTCAGCCCGCTCGTTAGGTCTGTCAACTCGAGCACCCTGACGCTCGAGGACCAGATCCGCGGGCTGGAGGACGTCGGCGGCTACCTCGAGGGTGTCCGGACGCGGCAGAAGGGCAAGTTGATGGAGATGCTGTACGGGAGCGTCGGCAATAGTCGGCGGCTCATTGAGGAGCGGACGTATGGCCGTACAGCATGAGTTGACGAAACTGGGATTTAGAGAAAAAATCATTTGGGTCCTAGATTCATCGTCTCCTTGTTGGACATTTGCCCTTGTATACTGCATCATGGCGTATTCGGACACTTAGAGGAAACCCCACCCGGACGGCGTTTCTTGCTGAACTGGGGATAGACTTTTGCCATCGAAGCGAGTGGAGGAGACAAACGATGTCCCTCGCGCATTTTCACATTGGAGTTGAGGATGGAGGAATATGGGGGATCGTCTACTGCATGGGTACTTATTCCCGGAGCACGTACATTTGGGGTTCATAAGCTGACAGATGTCAGTTGGCGTACAGTGGCGACTCGCCTTCTCAAAGTATGGGGGCAGCATGTGCTTCACAACCGCCTTGCACGGAAGACACGGAGGGAGGAACTTTTTTCGGTGATGGACATGGATTATGGGCAAGGGCGTTTTCGGGAGTTAGTAACCTGTAGGACCAACCGCATGTAAAGACTCTGGGAAAGGGCGTCTTTGGGATTTGAAGGTTTCGTTGAGGTGTAGGTAGCGGAAATGCGAATGAACGCGTATACTTCATCAAGATATTTGTGCGTAGATCATGTCCTATTGTGTAATTTGGGAGGAAATTTATGATATAAAAGGTGGAGGTATCGGTTGTATGTCTAAGTCGACAATAGGAGCAGTCACATAGTCTGTCATGATGGTGTACTTTCTTGGTATCAGGGGTGTCAGCTATGTTTACTCCTTCATCTTGAGTATGCTTACACATCTCAAGACTTGTAAAGTCCGACCTGTCCAACTGTCGTATCGGGTCGGCTTTGGTAGTGGATTATTGTATAGTGAATACTATAGCAGACAGTGCCGATGAGTATAAGCAGCAGGCTTCAGATGTTGTCTCATGTCTTCCGTGAGCGAGATTTACCTCTCCAGGTAGAAGGTCAAGATCCTCGCTGCCGCTGCCAGCTCCCGCTTGCCGCAATGGTCGCGAAGAGGCACACGGCCCAGTCTTACATGGCCTTCGTTTCCAACTCCTCCAGGTTGACGAAGGGATTATTTGTCGTGCCTGGGTGGGTTTTTCACACAGAGCAGCTGGCTGGGCGCGTGTGAGGTGTGTGCTTGAGCCAGGGGATCTGTAGATGACGATGACTGGTAGAGTATATATTTCCTGGCTTCGCCTCTCTTACTAGGTCTGACGACCAGATCCGTAGTATTTTCGCGTCCTTTGTTGATGAATATCATCTCAGGGCCCGAAATAGCTTCGTTGCAGGGAAACTGGATGCTCATTTTATTAAAAATGCTATCGCTGGTCTGCGGTTTGTAGTACTAGGTCAATGGACTCGATTCTGCCCATGTGTCTGTTTTATTGTTCTCGTATTGCGGGTTGAATACGGCGAGGGAAAGGGAAGGGAGCTTGAAACATATATTGCCGTCCTTGAGGGCTCTGGGAGATGCTGAAATTTGAGAGCTGCTTGCAGTGCGTGTCTGCCGAGCATACGTGATATGTCGCAGAGACATCATGTGGCAACCGATTCTAGAAGCTGTAGTAGATGTACACATCAAGACACCACACCACACCAGTTTCAGTCGTTTTCTTAAACGCCAATGGGGTTACCACCTCCGTCTGTTCGCTACCTTTCTAGGTAGTTGGGTGTTCTATCCCCTTTGTAGCTCGCGGATTTGGGAATCCTGCGAGTGACCCCCAAGTCTTTCTCTCTACTTGTTTACGGGCCATATCGTGAAAGACTATAACTTTCTAGCTGATAGTTAGATCGTAGGGTGTATAAGCTGTCAGCATTGGGGGATAGTGAAGGAAGCCGTTGGAAACATTTCTTCGTACATGGTCTAAAGGATATCGTGGAAACACAGTAAGAACCCCCCCCCCCCCCCCCTTTATCATGTAATCCCAACATTGCAGCCCATCTATAACCAAACTCCCCCATTCCCAACCCCCTCAAAAGCCCTCAATCTGCGTCCCGATCCCCTTTTCCTTGGCAAGCTGAATCATGTGCATCCCAACCGACAAATCCATGAGCCCCAGCCCGACACTCTTATAAATCACCGTCCCGTCCTTGAGCCACCTCACCAGCGCGTCCTCCTTCTTGCGCTTGTCTGCCGACCTCTGGCTCGAGCTGCGGCGCAGCATGCTCGGCCCTTTGCTGCTACCACTACCGCTGCTGCCAGACGTCTTTGTCGAGTCTTTGCTGATGGACGACCGCGGCTCCGATAAAGACGCGCCGTCGGATCCCGAGAAGGCGGACTTGATGGACGGCGTGCCGGAAAAGTCGAGCTTTTCGAGCTCCGAGGCCGCGATGCTCGCCGCGTCGCTATCGGCCGAGGCGGAGGCTGCGTCTTCTTCGTCTTGCATCCGGCGGAGCATAATTAGTTCTCCGAGTCTGTGTAAACAATCAGCTTCCCAGTTCCTAAAAACCTCGAGTCCGAAAGGGCAAGCGAACTCACTCAACAAGTTGCGTAGGCTGTAACCCGGCCGAGATGATCTCCCCAGCCTCCTTCAACGCTCCGTCCAGCGTGTCCACGACAATCACCCCGCCCTCGGGCGCATGCTTGTGAAAATGCCAATGCGGCTTCTCGTGCTTGGTAGCCTGCAGCAGCAACCCTCAGGCAGCTCCCTCATCGCGGGCGTGTAACTCCCAATCGCCGCAATCAGCCTCCCCTTCCTCCGTCCCTCGTGGCTCGTCAGCACCTCGGCCTCGAACAACTCCTCCGTCGACGGCGTGCAGCAGTACACCACGTCCGCGTCGCGAATCTGCTCCCTCGACAACCTCTTGAACTCGCCGTACCCAGGGGTCAAGATCCCAAACGTCGTCTCGGACCAGCCTTCGCGCTCTTTGATGTGCGGCGGCACGCGGTAGAACTGCTTCATGAAGTCGCGGGCGTCGTCGGAGAAGCGGCGGTTGATGACGTTGACGTGTCTGATGGTCGTGCCGCGGACCAGGAGGGCGAGGCGGACGTGCCAGTAGGCTTGGAGGCCTGTGCCGAAGACGGTGATTGTCTTCACGGTGGTGCGGCGGGCGAGGAGGCAGGTTGAGGAGAGGGCGGTGCGGAAGGCGGTTAGGGTCTTTGCGTGGAGGAAGCCGATGGGTTCGCCGGTGGGGGAGAGGAGGGTTACGGCGCCTGTGGGCTGGATGGAGGGTTTTGAGGGGTCTTGGGATGCTTTGCTGGAGCTGAGGGTTACGACTATAGGGAGTTTGTTAGTGATTTGAGAATTGTGAGCGGATGATGGAGGGCGGGGTGGGGACGGTTGAGAGGCTTACCTTTGCAACCCATGCCTTGGGGACCTACGGAGGGCATGTACAATGTTGTCGCGCCTGTCTTGAGGTTCTCTGTTGAGACGCGCTCCGGTTGGTGATATGTGCCATCCTCAATGTTGTGCGTGTTGGTCGAGTACTCGTGGAGAGCGGTCGAGATGACCTTTCTGAATCCGTCAAACTCGTCGGCCGTCAGATCGGCCAGGATCTCTTTGATCTGGTCGTCTGTGAGAACCGTCAAGACCATGGCGATGCTGTGAGATGTATATGAGAGGAATCTTGTTGTTCAGGCTTATTGTAGGCTGTTTGTAGTGAAATTTCTAGTCTTGCCCCTCATCAACTCTCGATGAGATGAGATGAGATGTTACTTGTGGGAGACAGTTTGAACTTGTTCGAAGCGGGGTTCTTTATTCGTGTACTTCGTACACACTTTTGGCTGACTCGGGCTTATGGGGAGCTAACGCCGTGCTTATATCGGGATCTGGCAAAAACCCCGGGGGACGGGCTTATAAACAGAAAGATTGTCGATTTCTCATCTACATTTTCCACCGGCTCATCCGCGCCAAGAATCTAGCATGGCTGCGCCGTTGGCGTGCCCCTCGATGTGTGAAATCTGTAGTATGATGTAATTGTCGATACTAGGTCTAGGCTCGTCTATATGGTGCTTACTGACACAAGCCGTTCATCTCCACATGTGCGCCTCCGTGGGCTGTGGGCACACGTTTCTCCGTGCTGCTCGCTCTCGTAACTTTCTGATGTATCATGTTCCCAACGGAGCTATCCTTGAGTGAAAAGAATGGAAAAAGTAAAAGGCTTGGCGACAGATTATACGAGGGAATTGGGGCGGGTTGAGCCATCAAATCTTGGCTTGGCACCCGAAAGCGAAGCGGGCTTAGCGGGTTGGCTGGGCCGGCGTTCCGGCGTTCTAGGGTTACGGTGCACCGGGCTTTCGGCCTCGAATGGAGTGGTCAGGCTTCACCGGCTCCGGGTCCGATTGGGACCCTGTCGACTCCGGATGTGCATGAAGTGAGCCGGAGGTGTCAATGCCACGAGGTCTTGTTTTGACGGGAGGCGGTGGCGGATACGGCCCTTCGGCAGTCTACAAAGATCGGCAAAGAAACAAATCCCCTCCCAAGTTCGTCCCAAGGGCTGACTGGCTGCCTGATGTCTGCCTGCTTAGCTTGAACGGTGATGTCAGAGGATTACGCCCAAGCGGGCAGGAATGTCAGTCACGTAGGTGCAAATAAGAACGCACATCCAAGAACAGAATTAATTTGGCAGGAGTAACATTGTGTTCAAAATACCATCCACAGGGTAACAATCAAAATGTCACGGTGCTCTTTCGTCTTCGTCACGGCCAAAAACGCCGACATCAAACTCATCAACCGTTTCCTCCTCACCATCCGGGACTGGGAGTACGGCGAAGATGACACCTGGGACTGCTTCACCCTCGTCACCTCGAAGACGGAACCCCTCCCGCTAGACGCAGAATCCACAAAGCCACCACTGCAAGAGTTGCCTCTAAACGAATGGGAAGGCAGCTCCCTCGAAGAAGTCGAAGCCGCGGTCCTTGCGAGGGGCAAAGAAGAGGACTCGGCGTATGGCAAGCAGCAAGGGCCCAACAACTTGAGCCTCTTCTTCGTGCTCGACGACAAGAGCGTCGAGGACCGGACCGTGATCCTGTGCCAGCGGGCCGTTGACTGGGACGCGGAGCCGCTGACGTACCCGGAAGGGTTCAACAAGTTCCGGACGCCGTGGACGTCGGCTTACCTGGACTGGTGCAACCTCGACATCTCGAATATCGGATGGTCCGAGATGTGTGACTGGGAGGACGCCGACGAGGGAAAGAATGAGAGGGACGGGGTGTGGTGGACGTATGGGAATCACGTTGAGGAGCTTACCTCTGAGGAGAATAGGAAGAAGCGGGATGCTGTGATTAAGGAGCTGGAGGGGCTTGGGCAAGCGTGATGAATAGCTGGACTGGGGAATCATGAGTCGCCATCGTGCTGTTCTCGCTCCTAGCTGTGTGAGCACACGGTGAGTTTACAAATGTTTAGGAAGGCAGTCCCATTCTCGAGAGTTCAAAATCAACCAATTCCAGGCACCTGAGTAATGAACGAATCAGGAGCCGGCACTGGGGATGTGAGCCGCCCCAGCCGGAGCCCGAGGGAGGCTTTGAAAGAGTCCACGTAGGCTCGCCGCTCACATCGCCCCATCTCTCTGCCACTCCACGACGCGTGTACGGCGTCCATCGTATTCGCAGAAATCTCATTGCGACTAAGCAGAGAAAAATAGCTGCCTGAACAGCTTAAACTGGTAGAAAGCGCATCAAAGGGGTAGTGGAGGTGGTGGCATCGGATAAATGGTAGAAGAAAACCATTGTCTGAGGCCCTGAGGGTTCAATACGCTTTGATTACCGTAACTTACAGTCTGCAAAATCATTAAACTCTCCTCGTATTACCATCAACTATCGCAAAGAAAATACCTCAACCACAAGAATCGAAGTCTAGGCGGTATTAGAAAGCGTCACGATAAGTCGAAACAAGAAGTCGACCCAACCCGCCAGCGTCGTCTTAAGCAAACCCCCATTCCCAAATATAACCACCCAGCCAAAACCGAACCAAACAAAAACGGGGTTGCTACTCAAGAGGTACGGAGCACGGGTGTCGGATGAGCACACAGACAAATCCTTTGGAGTAGTGGCACCCGGTAGATCGGCCGTGCATTTTCAGGTCCCTCCTCCTCCTGTGCCCCCCGGGCCCGGAAAGTGTCAGGACGTTGTTTCATAAACCTCTTACACCCTATCCCATCTTTTTCTTCTCTCTCTCTCCCCCTTCTCTCCTGAAGCGACCAGTGACATTTCTTCCTCACTGGTTCCACCACAGGGTCATAGTCTGGCGAGGGGCACCCTTCTCTTTGCGCGCATCAGAAAGTGAGGAACAACGCTGTTGGCCTGTTTCTGCTGGTCTTCTTTGAGGGTTGAACAGGAACAGCAGCACAGATTCAGAAAACCGGGCACGGAACACTAGAGAGCACAAGACATACATTTGCTAAAGAGACAAGACGAAGAAAAGGGATAACAGCCTCAGTAGCAGCCAAACACGGCTCTCGAGCCCAACCATCTCGTGTTGCCTTGTAAACGAGAACCTTATCAAGAGTGGCAGGCTGCACGATCAAAAACAGGCACCTCATCTTACCGTACACTCAACTGCAAGAGAACAGTATCCCTACGCAAAAAGGCCCCTGCTCTCGCTTTCAACCACCTCGCAGACAGGGAGAGCAAGATAGGGAAAGGGAAACCAATCACAATACCTGTCCCCCGTCTCGTCCCTGACCGTTGGGAATCTCGAATCCGTCGAATACTTCTCTTGTCTCAATCCAGCTGTTGAGAACCTGAGCATCTGTTTAAAAGAGAGAGTGGTACCAAAAAAGACCCCTTCCCGCAGACAAGAAACAGAAAGAAGCCTGTTTTCTCCCTCTGCTCGCCCGCGCGCCTGCGACCCCTGGAAACTTGGAAAGTTCCTCCCAGAGAGCGAGCGCCAGAAGATCCCACGCCCCAAGGTCCCAAGGAAGCCGCAGCACCACCAACCGGCACACCCAGCCAGGCCCCAACCCACACCGCAGCAGCTGTACACCAAATCTGACTGGTCCAAACGGGGGCGCCCCAGGGACCTGCCACCTACCAGTAACCACCTACCTTACTGCGTACTCCGTACCTACCGCAGCCTGCTGGGCCAAGTCCAAGCCTCAAATTCGGCAAAAGAGGCTACGTACGACGCTTCCTCTTCTCTTGGCCGCGCCGCCCCGGGGAAAGCTGACAACAACACTTCACTTAACCTCACCTCACCCAACCACTCCACCTTCAAACCTCGAATTCCAACAAAACAGCAGTCCAGAAAGCTCGATCCTCACCAGACAACGAGCCAACACCCACATCAAAAGAGACAATCAACTCACCGATCCTACCACAATCCGATCTCCCTTTGCTCCCGTGCTGTCGATCCCATCTCCGTGAGCTGGAATTCGGACCATCTCCACAATAGCTCAGAAAGTCCACGTACGCCAACCTAAAAAGAAAAACGTTACCACCGCAAACCACATCACACTACCGCCAAGATGACGCTCAAGGAGGAATTCGCGACCAGAAACTTCAGTATGTTTACCTTCCCAATGGGCTCTGCGCGGCTGGCGCTGTCTTCCTCATCTTGAACTTGATGCTAACCTGTCACTACAGGCATTTACGGCCAATGGTAAGAGCTTCCCTGCTCAGCCCATCATCCCTCGCTCCCTCGCGCAATGTCCCCCCTTCGATTGCCTGTCCGCGGGGACACGATCCGAGATGAACACTCCCCGCGGCAGGCTGCGATTGCGGAAAACCTCTCTAGGAGAGCTTGTTTCGGCGCAATACACTTTGGGAGGCATAATGGCTGACTCGAGAATCAATGCAGGCTGGGCGTCTTGTCGATGATCTTGTGCTTAGCACTGGGCATCGCCAACATCTTCACCATCCATCTCCTTCTCATCATCTTCTGCGCGCTCGCCTTGTAAGACTACCTGGGCTCCCTCCGCTCTGAGCCGGAGCTCCGTTCTAACGTAAACCTCTAGGGCCTCTGCGCTGGTGATCCTCTTTATTGAGGTCCCTCTGTTGCTCCGAATCTGCCCTACCTCGGCCACGTTTGATGGCTTCATCCGCAAGATCTCGACCAACTACATGCGCGCCGGAGCCTATGCCGGCATGGCTGTCATTCAGTTCCTCAGCACCATCATCGTTACCAGCAGTCTGATCGCCGCTGGTGTGTTCCTGTCGCTGACGGCCATCTGCTACCTTCTCGCCGCCGTCAAGGGCCAGGCCTTTGTCGGCAGCAAGACGCTTGGTGGCCAGGGTGTTGCCCAGATGATTGTCTAGGAGAAGAATCAGCAATTAGAATGTCGGGGCAACGAGATGCCCAAATCAGCAGCTCCGGACGAAGGAGCGCCGGCGCCTGTAACGACAGCTGAACAAGTATAGGCAACATTAGTGATATCCAGTGCCTGGAAGCACGAACAAAATGGGGGGACGAAAGGGTTGTGGAGTGTATACAATTGCGAGTATCGAGGCTCCGTGATAGGCCACTTGGCGCGTGAAGCGCAACGGGTTATGAGAGGTTGCAGAGGGCAACGCGGAGACTGGTGTGTTTTGATATGCAACGACCGGCATATTCGGAAAGGAAACTCGGCGTCCCGGGACAAGCTCAGGCTTTGCGTGTACGACTTCGGATTGCGCTTTTGGTTCTTAGAAGCTCCGGAGGTTATGATAGCTTTCTTCATTGCACTGGATTTTCTGTTTCGGAGCTTTCTTGAAACTTTTGATGGTTCGCTCTCGTGCGCATTGAGCAGAGTCGAGTCGTCCGACTGCCTCCATGCACGTGTACCGCTCCAGATCGGAGTACGGCAGAAGAGGATCGGCATCAAGCTTGCCAGCTCACAGCTTACAAGTGATGTTGCGCAAGCTTCCTAGCATTGTTCTTGTTCAGTCGCTATAGCTTGAACCACAGCTAGCTTGCGAAGCGAGTCAACGGTGAGGATCGAAAGAAAATGGCACTAGTGGTGCCGGTGGCGGGGAGCGAGCCAGGTAATAGCTCGCAGGCCTCGGGGCTAAGGTGAGCAGCCAAAGAGCTACTTCTCATGCAGAGGGACATCACGCACATTGTGAAGCGTGACCGTGAAACCATGACCGCCGTTTGGGGGTTTGACCCAATTGGACGAGCTAGATAGTCCATGATGGAGGCTTGGAGCGGGAGGGGGGGGCATGGCCGGAATCTGCCCCTCATGTTTCTAGTCGCGAACTACCTAGTGTGAGTGAATAGTCAAGTTTTTTTTTTTCCCTTCTTCTTGCTTCTAAACGTATCCTGTGAAACCCCGGATATTGACGTATGCCTCGTCATTTTTTTTCCCCTGCGCGGGGAGTGTAACGTGATGAACGGTTAGCTTTGTGGATACCTGCCGTGCTACCGAGTACAGACTCTCTCTGGCCTTCCATTTTCTGGGGACGATGGTGTTCAGTTGATGGGAGATAGCAGCATCCATCCGTACGACGCCGAGAAGTGAAAGAGCTGGCGTAATTGGCGACTAGTTTATGGCAAATAGTGTTTGTCAAAAGTCGAGCGCATTTATATCATCACCCATCGCATTACTGGCAATGAACCTGGTCCTAAGTTCAATGGGTAGAGACCAAGAAGTTGAGGACGGCAACGCACTACATGGCGTCATCCAGCAGCAGCGCCGTGGGAAGGCGGAGCTGCTAAAAAAAAGCCGTGGTCCAGCTCTGGACGAAACGAACGGCACAGTGAAGATGCAAGAAAGGTGAACGGAGCTTCTGGCCCTGATCGACCGTGACGATGTGTTTCCCCATTTTCCTCCCCACAAGGGTCCTGCGAGATGAAGGAAGGGTTTGCTTATCCAGAAGAACCTCAGTCGCGAAGCTGGCACAAGGAGTAGGATTTTCCCGGCCGGGCCAGCGCAACTTTTTTTTTTCGAATCTTCGAAGAAACCTCGGGAATCACCTTTGCTTGGAGCTTGTTTTGAGACGATCGGTTTCCCGGTCCCGCCTCTCGCCCAGGGCGTTCCAGCAACTGTCATCATCCGAAGAAAGCCAGCCAGGTGCTGGAGCAATTTCCAGGGACACTCGTGGATCGATCGTCAAACAATGGGGCTCTTCCCGTCTCCAGTTGACGGTTAATAATGACAGTGCATTGCTGGATAACGGAGCCGTCTACGCTGGTTCCAATTCTCTGTGACAGTCTGACGGAAGGACCTCCACTTGGGATGTCGTCAATTGAAAGACATCCGTAATTCTGACGGAAAAGGGAGCGTTCTGGCCGTCTGAAAAAAAGAGCCGGGCTGAGCGCGAACGGTGGGAGGGAGCCAAGACCGTGACAGCGGCCGTCAGAGGCCGTCGGAGACAGCGTCCGACACAAGCCAGCTCTCAATGTTTAAGCGATTGCAGGAGAGGCATTTGTTCATGGCCCGAGGACCAAGGCAATTGAGAATTGCCGCCCCGAGAAAATCCCTCGAGCATGCCCGCACGCGCTCCGGCGCCCGTCCAGATGCTTCCGAGTTGCCAGAGATGGAAGCCCGAGAGGCGGTGCCGTTTAGATCCAAGTGATGCTCCTGGACAAGCGCCCGCAGTCACAGTCCGAGAAGCCGGAATATCCAATTAAATGGATCATGTCTCTAGTTGTTGCGGTGAGAGATGAGTACGTATTCCAGAGAATAACAGTGTGGTGCAATACAGGGTAAGCTAGTATATGAACCACAGACTGAACAGAGAGACTGTGAGAGAGTATTGCGAGGGATCACGATGGTCCATTGGCAGGGTTGTCTAAAACGGCTCCCTCTCTTGGGCATATGTTTGTGTGGGAAATGTTGTATCGAGATCCAAACGGACGAGGCACCGTCGTCTGGCCAGCTGCAGGCCGGTGCCCTTTCCATGCAGAGCTTGCAGCATCTCGTGGTCTGGGAGGTGGGGCTGGTCTTGGGAGAATGACACTGGACTCTCGGGGGAGGGAAGAGGTCAAAGGCTTTTAGGGCGAGTCGAGGCGCACTGTAGACTTGTTGTGTTGGTAGCCAAAGACGCAATATGGTCCGGTAAGGTCCAGGTATCTCGCTGGGCCTCTCTTCCCGGTTCACGCATCCGGTTCCTGGCAAAGGTACTTGACGAAATCGAGAAGGTACCTGCTCTCGGGACCGCCCATGCCCCGGGTCTGGCCCGCCTGAGGCTGGACGCCTGGGGGGTCGGTGGCCATGGTCAGCGGGTGACTTTTCGAACTTTTCTCAGTGGACAGTTTCGATTGGGGCGCAGGCGGGCTCGACCTTGGACCAGACGACGCCCTGTGGAGATGCCGTCCACTATGGGCGAGGGCCACAGTGGGTATCCTGGGACCGGCTGCCCTGCCCGCCGCTGGATGAGTCCAGGGTCGACTTGTCGAGAGGACGGGAAGCTGGCCATGTCTTTGTTGCCTCTGGACGTTTGAGCAGCCAGGGGAAACAATGTTGTTGATTTTTGATGTGTGTGTGTGTGTGTGTGTGTGTGTGTGGTCCCAGGTCGTACAGAGAGTGACTCTGAAATTAGAACGTGGTGAAGAAGAATGCAAGGTGGCCGGATGTGCGTGAACGTTGCGCCAAGTCGTGTCTGTTGGGAGACTGGAACGAAGGAACCCCCCGTGTCCCAGATGGACATTCCCAGGGCGCAGGTGACTCGGGACGAGATGGGTTTCGCGTTGCTGATTCTAGATTTCGACGCTGACGCGAGCACACACGAATGGGAAGCAGAGCACGTTTGATCTGGTCGAGGCGTTGGCAGGTGACGGCCGAGGGAATCCACAGTCACAGTGCCCTTTTTTTGTGTTTTCCCCTTCCCCGTCTTTTGGTGCTATTTGTAGTTGAGTGCTTCGGAATCCTTGGAAGCGGGTTTGCGGACGGCCGGCGAATTTGGCGAGTCGTTGAACCTCAACCAGGTCTGTAGACTGGTTTGAACGCAATTGGTGCTGTCCTGTGCTGGGATCTTCACACTCAATTGAGCCTCTGACGCCTCTCTCAGAGTGGCAGCTGCAATAAGAGTAGACGTGGATCTGGGTTGGAAGGACACTTGGTTCGATCGATCGATTGGGGGTGGGATGATGCAGAGTTTCCTGGTCAACTTTCTTCCCGATGGCCCTGGAGCAGTCGGTTGAAGTGTTCCTGTCTGAAAGTAACAGCAAACAAAGCGAGTCAACAGAAAAGAACAACTCACCTCTTGCTCATATCAGCTAGCTGCTTCCTGGACGCGATGTTGCTTTGTCTGGTCCGTAAGGTAGGTAGGTAATAGCTTGCCGTTCGTATCGTTGAGAGGAAGGTCGTCCCCTGACGTTGAAGACGAGAAAAGGTACCTTGCTGGATGGGAGGTATCATAGGTATTCGTACATTTCGTACAAGTACACGACCTCGTGGGAAGGTAAGAAAAAAGACTTTGACTTTGATTATGGCAACTTACACTACAATTCGAGGTGAGCACCTCAGTCTCCAGCGCATACCGTAGGATGCATTAGTGGGCAAATGGCGGGGTACTGTGGATTCCCCAAAAACAGATCATTCAGTACTGTGCCAATACGGGGGGAGACTTACTGTATGACAGCAAGCCCTCAAACCTGCAGCTTTCAATGCAAAGAGTGCCACCAAAGTGCGCATCGCCGGCACAGCGTCAACTCGACGGCCAGGTACTCGAGGTACTCGTGTACATGTTCTTCTGCTTTTCTCGCTGGACCGGCATCGAGCATCCCTGCTTTTGTGCCATGGAATACGTCGCTCGTGACTGGCTGAGAGAGGGCAGCAGCACCGTCACCGAACCAGCTGGTTTCGTCAAGCCAGAATATAAAAGCTCGAGGGTCAAGGTGACTTTTCTCCTGCTTGCTGCCCCCCCCCTGGATTTGCTCGTCATATCATCTGTTCAATGTGTGTACTCAGCATACAAATCAGCTCTCTCACCATCTTCCGTTTGCCCTTCACCTCGCGAGCGTTACGATAACACCAATTCCACACAGCATCACGGAATAGCCCAGCTCTTTAGGATCTCACTCCCACCACCTCAATTCACCTTATCTCTTATCTCCCACCTTTAGCTGTAAGTGGACTCCGTCCTGCCAGACCGCACTCGTCATTGTTGGTTTCCCACCGGACTTCCCTCCCTCCCTCTCCCGCACCATACGGCAATCAACAACCCTTCCCCCGGTTTGCTGAGCTTGGTTTACTGCTACTACTCCGTACTGGTATCCCTACTCCTCCGCCCACACAACCCTCCTCTTCCTCCTCCAAGTGGTCGTCCAATGCTTTGCTGCACATTGTCAGCACACCACCACCAAAACCATAACCATCGCCCTGCTTGATGCAGGTGTTGGGGAAGGACAGGGCAGGCAGGCCCACCTTGCGCTTTTTCAGCCGGGGCGGACTCAGCTATCACCATCTTTCGGTGTGTGCGAGTCTCCTGTAATGGAGCTCTCTGGAGGCTTTTACCTGCTTGTGGTGCAAAAGCCTCCCTCGTGTACCTTACCTTACTCGTGATATGACACCGTCTTATCATCGGGAAATCACTTACCTTATCAACAAAGATTGAGCGTCAAAACTCAAACCCGCTGTTCCCAGCAAGGCTGCATTCTTCCGGTCGCCCATCCGGTGCTTGTCTTGTCTTCTCTCCCCGCCCCTGCCTGTCTTGTTTTGCCTGTTAAATTCACCCTATTCCACTTTCTCCAGTCTTGTTATCTCGCCTTCAGCTGCCACCCACACTAGAAAACAAGGCGGCTACAGAATACACACCAATCGCCTGAACAAGGGGGAAGCGAGCACGTTCTGCTCTTTGCTTTGACACACCGCCTCAAATCCATGTACTAATTGCAGCTTCCGCGCTCTCTAGGCTCCCTGTTACTTGTTGCGCCCTCTTAGTCGCGCCCAGATCAAAAGCTCGTCCAGCCCCGACTACTACACCCAGCAGCACCCCCGATCATCTTCAACTCGGCTGCAAGTCGTTGTATTTCTCTTTTCTACGTATTCGAACAAACCACACATTCAAAATGTCTACCGCATCAGTACAACAACCGATTATCCCTCCCCGACCTTCTAGGAGTCAGGATAAGGAGGAGAACACCAACACTTCGTCTCTCCCCAAAATCCCTCCTCGTCCCATCAAGCGTTTCGACCGCTCCGTCTCTCCGAATCCCGATCGATATGCGCCCTCTCCACTGAACGAGAGCCCTTTCTCAAAGAGCCCCAAGGCTACTCGTTCCTCGCCGAGCAATGGCTTCCTCTCTTCTCACGACCCCATTCATCACCGCCCCGGTAGCGTGTCTATGCCTTCCGTTGGTGAGGAGGGTAACGAATACGATGCCATCAACGATGGATTTGTCAAGCCGCCTCCCAAGGCACCTTCATCTCCTGAACACACCCGCTTCGCTGCGGAAGATCTGAAGCTTCACGCTCCTAAGCCCACTGTTCCGGCTCAGAGTGCCAAGCAGAGAGTTATGGCAGTGACCCGCACCGATTCGGATAAGGCTGCCTCCTTTGGCATTGGCAAGCCCAGCAGTGACGACACCAGACCCAGCAGTCTCAGGAAGAAGGCCAGCTCGAGTGCCTTGTCTCAAAAGTCAGAGAGTGCCTACGGCGATGAGGAGCATGGCATCCCCGAGATTGGCCAGCGTGTTCCCATGAACCCCCACTTGGGTGACGTCCAGGCTCCTTCTCCTGCTCCTGGTTCTGGCGCTGCCCCCGAGAGCCTCAGGTCGGGAACTCCGCGAAACCACTCCCGCAAGCACAGCTCGCGTGGTTTCAACGAGCTCCCTCCTGGCAGCTACGGTCTTCATGGCCACAGCACAGCTTTGCCCACCGACAAGTTTGAGAAGGCCTGGTACGACAAGCACCCAGATTTCCTGAAGAAGGACTGCAAACCTTCTCTCCACGACCGCCAAAACGACTACGCCATGAGCAGCACGGATCTGAACAAGATTGTCAAGGAGACCCACAGCCGTGGTTCTGGCATGGGTAAGTCGTGCAAACATGATTCCACGAGTATAGAGGCAGCCACTAACTTGAACAGGAACCTCCGCTTCATATGTTGGCACCCCCAGCGAGGAAGTTGGATACCAGGCTTCTGCAGAGTACACCTCTCGCATCTCCTCCCCTGAACTTCAGCGCATCAAGTCTCCTCAAAGTCCCTCGAAGGATTCTCATCCTCAGGTTTCTGTGTCTTCTCCGGACAATGCGACCGGAAGCGATGACGGTATCGTCCACGTCGACGAATCTCACAACCGCCGCAGGAGTTTCGTGTCGCACGACCCTGGACACGAGAACAAGTACAACGCACCTATTCTGGCCGAAGACGAGTCTGGAGGAGACGTCCACCCGTATGACCTCCAGCCCGCTGTTGAGCCCCCACCAGAGCGCTCCGGCAGTGCCTTTGAGATGGAGAAGCCGAACCGTCCCACAAGTCGACCCACTAGTATTTACAACAACAACCAGTCACAAACCGACCTGGTACACACCCCACTTGAGGATGTTGAAGAGTACGAGCCACTCTTCGACGAGGAGCGCCCGGAGGGCAAGAAGTCTGAGGCCGAGGCAGCCAGCTCGAAGCCTCGTCACAAGTTCCCAAGCAAGGACGTCTGGGAGGACGCCCCCGATAGCGTCAACTATACAGCCGAAGTTTCGACCCCGGAGCCCACAGAATCAGAACGACCTTCCTCCAGACGCCGTTCCGAACTTCCCACAGAAAACCCCGCCTTGGAGTTTGCCCGCAGACAAGAAGAACTCGCAGAGCAGGAAGGCCGTGGAGTAGATGCAAAGCAGATGAAGCCAGTGCCTGCCGCTCTCCAGAAGGCCAAGGAAGAGGCTCGCCCGACCATGTCGAACCGGTTTCCCAGTCGCGACGTCTGGGAGGATACGCCAGAAAGCGCCATGCACGAGGCTATCGTGGACACACCTGAGCCAAAGGATGAGTCCCCGGTAGAAAAGCCGTTTGTGCCAGCACGCCCGCAGAAGAAGGGTTCACAATCGAGCGCTACCGCAGAACCACCTTCCATTCCTGAGCGGCCAAGAAAACAGAACTCGACAAGTGAGGATAAGGCTAAGCCGGCTGTCTCGGAGAAGTCAAAACCTCAAATTCCTGCTCGCCCTACCAAGACCCTTCCTTCCGGCGTCGACTCCAAGGAGCAAGACTCTGCTCCCAAGCAGAAGCCAGCTATTCCTGGCAAACCTGCCGGAGGCAAGATCGCAGCGCTCCAGGCCGGTTTCTTGTCTGACCTTAACAAGCGCCTTCAGTTGGGACCTACAGCTCCGAAGAAGGAAGAACCCCCCGCGGCGGATGTTGCGGAGGAGAAGGAGAAGGCGCCCCTCGCTGATGCTAGGAAAGGTCGTGCTCGTGGTCCCCAGCGTAGGGCTCCGGCGGCGAAGAGCCCAGCTCCCGCAGCCGTTGAGGCCAAGTCCGGACCTACACTCTCCTTCTCTCCTCTCAGAATCTGCTGGAGCATTGGCGATAGCGGTGTTCTAGAGGTCGACGACGGTTCCAAAGAAGAACCCACCAAGGAGCCGGTTCCCGAGGTCGCCAGCACGGCTGCAGAGACCAAGGAGATCAAGCCTGAAATCTCGGCCAAGACGGAAGCACCCGAGGTGCCCGCCACTACGGAACCTGCTGCAGAGACTGCGGGAGTGGCCGAGGCTGAGGTTCCTAAGCCTGTGGAAGCTGAAGATGGGGCTGAGGCGCCGAAGGAGGTCGTGAAGACCCTGGCGGCTAATACTGCTGGCGAGCCTGTGGTCGAGGCGACTCTCGAGAAGGGTGCCGACGTCGAGCCTGTTAATGTGAAGCAAACCGGAGGCGAAGCGGCATAAAATGTTGCAGAGTGGCCGGTACGAGAGTGAGTGATTGGTGTGTCATGACGCAAAAAAAACAGCACTAGACCGGCATTCTGTTGGCGTACAGTTTTTTTTCGGTTTGATGGTTTTCGGGTCATCCAACTATACTTTCACGTTCCCTAACTTTGCCGTATGACTTTGCAGCGATTTGTTGAATAGGTAGCAATTTGATACTGCGTTTGTTGTCTCTTTCCGATGGAAGGACAGCCTCGCCTTCCGCGTCGGCTTGTGGATGATCGCATACATAGCCTGGTGCGTGATTTTGTCAAGTGTTTCCCAAGG